TATTGCTTGCTTAGAGTATAATCTAAAATTTAATTTCGTCCTCTTTCTCGTTTTTTGCTGCTGTTTCTACCTGTGTTCAATGAAGAATTATTCACAAATTTGAATAATGATTTTTTAAAGCATCAAATAAAATATGAAAAATTATTTGTAATAGTAATAATAATAATCTGTTGTATGTGATCAAAAGTATATTTTATAATCCCATAAAGAGTCACAAATAGATTTTAACTTCAAATAAATTCCCATTCGAATGAAATATTTATCCCTTAGGTGGAAATAAAAGTTAATTTTTTTTTTCACTTATCCAAACCCTTTGCCTAAATGAAATTTTTATTCGGATAATGCCAGAACCTGCGATGTGGACTCAATTATAAACTTTATTTTCGTATCTCTCGTCGCTCGTTTGTTTTCGAACTCTCGTTCGCCGACCGCGGGTGGCGTCGTTTTAATCCGTTCTCCACAATCGCACCCAATCATTGAATCCCTTTGGACGAATCGGAGTGTCGACGGGTCGGTCTATGCTACAAAATTAAACGACGCCAGTCGAATCGCATTTAGACCTCGGTTGGTCGACTCACCTATATTTTATTGACGTTGCATTTGGACGGCGAGATTGCGTAAATTCGGACCAGGCTAGGCGACCGCTTGAAACCCAATTTACGCGGTTCATTCTGGACGATCATCCTGGATGAATCATCCCAAGTGCGTATGCGTATTGCACGAATGAATTTTCGCTTAAGCGCGTCATCGCAAATCCACTAGCAAATGCAATCCATTTCATGAAAATTAATAATGTTATGAAAAATACAGGTATGACGAACGCAAGAGACTCGTTCCTGTTTGACCGACATTACTGATTACGATTAGGTTTTACAACAGCATTAAATTGCTTATTTAGGCTGCGAAAGCAATTTAATCCATTTTATAGCAAGCGTGAAACTCGTAATCGAGAAAATTAGCTCTAACAGCTTGTAACAGTCAGAACACAAGCTGTATAACTATTATGAAACATATCACGCGCGCGTTAGATTGAGACGTGTACACGTTAAAGTGACCAACAATCTTTTTTTGCAACGGAGAAATTTGCTATGTTAATTTATTTAATGTTAAAGATGTTTTATTTTCAAAATAAAAAATTTATTATGCATCGTTATTATTGAGGTATTGTAAAGTTGATATTAAAATACGTTCAATAGAATGAAAACCTAGAATCGCAAGAACGTGTTTTATTCATTTTTTATTTCGCAATAAAAACTAATTGATAAAAAACTCAACATTTTCACACTGAAATGAAATTAATAGCGATAATTTATGATGTGTACCATTTTCAAAACTAACACAAGATTCAGGAGAACATGTATCATTACAATGATGAATGATAAACGCATGTCTCTTTCAGACAAATACGAGTAGAGAATTGAGGCATTGAAAAGCTTGTTGATCCAATTTAACAAAAAAAAAACGTGAACTATGCCATTTTCAATACAAATTCAATTGTAAATCACTTTCATAGCCCGTACCAATCCTTCCATTTGCAATATATGTATCAATTTTTCATGATAAGCCGCCATATGGAAAAGTTGTTGAAAGATACATATTTAATACTTTTATATGTGTTTTATATGTGTAAAAATAAATATACGAATATATATATTTTTAAGCTGATAAAAGGAGAAGAGAGAAAAAGAAATTAGTGATACACATAGCGATCAGGAAGCAAAATATCTTGGATTTTATAAGTCTATATTATCATATCAATCCCAATTATAATTTCTCAAATTATTATTACACCATTGGTGCAATTATATAATTTTTTCAAGTTGTCTATCAATACGATACGAAACGTGTGAATTTATTTTTAATGCGGCGGCAAACAAAGGGACAAATACCCGCATGTAATGCATAACGCAGTTCGATCTTGTACGTGTACATGGTGATGCGGTACAGACATGGAATACCATGCGGTACAGGGATTATCGATCGTATTGAAACCAAACCCGTCTGATTCTTCCAGTGGTAACGGAGAGGTTTAGCGGCGGTTTGCGTAATCGCCGATTATCGGCATAATTATTGTTGCTCTCTCGTTGCTTCGCTAACGCACCTAATCGATCTGTATTGGCATAGAGCTGCTTCTACGATGCTCAATAAGAAGCAATTAGGATCCCACTATCATTTTCTAAAAATGAGAAATTATACCGGGCTGGTAGATGGTTCAATTCTCGGCAAACTTAGCACTTGAACGGTTACACTTGAACGTGGGGCATCACAGTCGATAAATGAAACTCTCACCCAACACGAGTGATAATCAGCGCTACGGAGCAAAAAAGACCGTGTAATATACAATTACAGTTAATTAACCAAGACGATCGATGCAACTGAACGTAAAGTCTTGTTACAAGCGAATGACGGAATCGGAAGTGCCGTCACGCGCATAAATGCTGGATATCGCACAGTTATTAGCTATCACACAGTTATCGATTCTGAAGTTACGGATTTGTAACTGGATCCGTTTTTATGCTTATACCTTTTGCCATTAATTGGCCACTCGTTAGTTTTCCTTCTAAAAAATGATAAACGAGTATAAGGAAATTGTTAGTTTTTAGCATCCCTATCTAATTGTAAGATAAAAGATCCATCAAATATTTATCAAAATATTCATCAAAATCAGTCATCGACTCACAATGTTTTTTCAATGTTTTTGCATAGATAAACATAAATCTCATGCAGACAATTTCTACGGGGAGAGAAACGTAGTGTAAACGTAATTTTATAGTCTATAGCACATCACCCTACTTTGCTTTATCCTGTCGAGCGAGCAAAACTATTCACAAAATGATGGCATGCAGAAACGCGCTTATCCTTCCGAAGAAGCACAGTTTCCGAATCGAAATCATTTTTATCTTTCTGTTACAGGCGAGGGACAATATTTTCGAGTCAGGCCGAGCAATAGTTCCGTGCTGGAAGGCGGCGAGGTGATAATTTCTTGCGAGGTGGGGAATCGAGTTGGTACCGTCCAGTGGGTCAAAGACGGATTTGCTTATGTCATACAGCAAAGTGAGTATAATAAATTGAAATAAAGTTGTATTATCGTGTGATTGTTCCTTTTTCAAGTGTCATTTTTTAGAAAACCGCAAATTCATTGCTTCACGAGGAAGTATTTTTTTTTTTTCACGAAAATATCGACAATATATCAACACTAAATGTTTAATTATGAGATATTCAGAATGGATAAAAAATTTTAAATTATTAATAGCCAGAAAAATGTTATTTTTATGTTTGATTATTTATTATTTTTCAAAAACTATAGATTTCGAAATTCACTGGAATCTAATTTAAGATTTCTCGAACAGCGTTGTATGTGTGTGTATTAGAGAATGATCGTTATCTTCCTTTTTAATCGCCTTAATTGAGCATCAATTATCAATTAGAGAAAAGTGATTAGACCATTTTTTGTCTGGCATTAACACTTTGAATCTTGAAAAACGTGAAATACGAAAGTATTGGAAAATTATAATAAAGACGACTAATTACATTTTCTTCAGAAAAAATATGAGTTTGAGATCAGATTTTCAAAATGTAATATATAGATTATAAACGTGAATTTTATAATATTATATGTGATACACAATTTAAGAAAAATTTAAAGTTATATTTGTTTGTAGAATGAAATTTATCTGTCTGTACCATTCGCATTGGTCTCTGATAAATCCACTTAAAAAGAGAATGATCCGAAAGTCGTTTGATATAATATAAATGTTTCGATAATAACAAAGATAAAATGCATACAGAGTAAACTGTGCTTGTTAAATTCGGTAAAGACAGGTAATCCTGTATTTGTACAATTAACGCCGCGGGAAAACGCGCCTCCTGTCTAAATCTACCAATTAAAACCACGCACAAAAGCTGCTTATATTTTCAATAGGAAATTGAGTTTTCGCTTTTCGCAGGATTGTTTTACACAGAAATTTTTGAAAACACATTAACGCACTAATCAAGAACCAATGTTATCCACATTGTTTTCTACTTTTACGAATTACAACGCTATATACGTTACGATTACACGCAGTCCACAAATACGTACACGAGGTGATTGTAAAGTTTATTTTTTACATATTAAATTTGAAGCTTGATATATTAATTAAAATTTTGTTAGGAAAACATTTCAATTTATTAATATCAATTTTTTATAGAATTTTCTAGATAAGAGAAAAAATAATATCAGACACATATAAATGTAGAATTTTTTATCTCATTAAACTTTAAAAATATGTGAAACTTCTAATTTAATTTTCAGATTTAAATTATTAACTAATTATTTCATAAAAATTTCCTATGAGTAAAATATTTTAATATTCTCAATAGTGTCCTTTTCAACTTTTATCGACTAGTCTAAATATTATATTAAATTGTTAAATATTTGTTCATAATTTTCAGAACGTTCAAAATTAAATAATCCTGCAAGACAGAAAAATGTAACATAGAATGAAATAGATGAAATATAGAATTAAGATGACAAGAAAATTTTGAAATTTATCTTTCTTCTTTCTATACACTTTACATATATGTATCTTTTATGACCTTACTTAAAGAACGTAGTAACGTTGTGGATTTATTATTTAAGCGTGATCGTAAAGAATCTTATCCGAGAGCGAGACTATCAACGGCGAGTGGTTAATTACTCAGCGGTCTCATCGGCTTCCGCCTATCTGTAATCGCATCGTTTTGCCGAGAGTGCTCGCATACCGATCGAATAAATGCTAATAACAGAGCTAAAATTAAAGCTGATGTATTAGTAGGGTATCTGGGCGATCATGAATTACAACACTTAGTCAAGAGGTAGAAAATGTTAACCAATTATCTAATTTCCATCAATCGATTGTTACTTGCGAACATAGTGATATAACTCAATGCATAACGATCCTGTGAATTGATGTTACAGACGGCGAAATCGTGGGTCATCCCAGGTTGAAATTGATCGGCGATCAAAACGCCGGTATTTTCAACCTGAAAATCACCGACGCGTCTCTGACCGACGATGGCGAGTACGAGTGTCAAGTCGGACGATATCTGCGAGTCAAACCAATTCGTGCCAGTGCTCACCTAATTGTCACCTGTAAGTCGAAATATGATGAAGTACAATTGAAAAGTTTTATTCAAATCTGTCCAAATTGAAAAATGAAAAATAGAGACGCTTCTTTTGGAACTTTAAATATTAATAAGAATAGCACACGTTCCTTTTATCTGAGAATGTCGACAATTGTCGAATGTCGCGTTTTCTTATTGACTGCCTTCTCTTTTTCGACTGTCATTTTTTATCTAATTAGTCCGGATGCTTTTCATTATATTTGGTGACACAAATCGATATAAGTCTTTCTCTTTTTGTTACTCTTTGAATATCAAGAAAAAGTATTTATTATTAAGTCGATTTGTGTCACTAAATGGAACGCACCCTCTGTTATTCAATAAGTAATTCATCAATAATTCTTTAATATAATAGATTGTTAGGTCAAACATGGCAGTTGTTTGCACTACTTTTTTAAATCTGGAGTTCTAGCTTCTTACTTCCATTTCGCAGCACTCACATCGCAGTAATTTCTCTTAATAACAAAATTAACCGACACGAGACACGGATATAACGAATGTGGTTTTTTAAATGATTTATAGTTTTAGCACTTGTTCTTTTTCGTTTCTTTTCTTCTCATTTAGCGAAATGAAGAGGAGAAGGCGTCTCGCGATAATTTGGACAAGTTTGATTTAATCCCTTTTTAATCCGCCGAGAGAATTTGATAACTCTAACATATTTTAATGCATTTCTAATTGATTTATGTTAATTATGTTTTCATTTAAATGTTTTTTTTATAAAAATAAAAAAATGTTTAAAAATTGTTGTTTTTTCTCAAACGACAAGATATGAAAATTATCTTAAAATAAAATTTTGATCGGCAAAAGAAAAAGAAGAGTTAAACTTCTTCCCTCTAATTTTAATCTTTTAATCTTTATTAATACAATGTATACAAAAAGTATAATTTCGCATTCTGATTTTACACAATTTAAGATAAGATCTCATATCGCTCACATATTTATTCGTAACAATGAACTCTATTTATTTTTTTAAACATGAGGCGAAAATGACAAAACATCCATCTATTGACAGATCTCAGCGAAGTTCGAAAGATAAACAAAATCGCGTGAACATTGTATATTAATTAAAATTTTCTGAACGTGACCCATGATATTCCTCGGCAATCCGGGGAAATTCCAACAGCAGTGGATACGAAAAATACTTACTCCTGCTTGGGAATAATCGTGACCGAGTCATTTCGACGATAGCCCCGTACGGGCGTGGTACTTAAAATGCAAAGCGTGCCGTAACTCGAATTACAAACTCAGGATCTCGAAACCGTGCTTAAAGTTAATTTACGCGGTCGTACGGGCGTTACGTTGTGTAACGCCCTGTCACCATCGCGAAAGGTCGACTTTCGGGACTCTCGACGAGGGCAGTTGATCACACCGACTATGACATCCGTTGACCCAAGCGGTACCAATGTTTCTACGCCATCGACGATATCTCTTCTCTCTCTCTCTCTCTCTCTCTCTCTCTCTCTCTCCCCCTCTCTCTCTCGTTGGTAAATTATGCAGAAGTTATTAAGCGCGACAATATGCACTCGTCTGACAGACTTCCATATAAACTAGTTTGGCGAAGTCCAGAACGAAGCTAGTTTTCGTACGCGCGCGACCTTTCCGATGCGACTACGAAGACAGGGATGACATGCTCGGCTTTGAGGGACGATGGTTTTAGTATCTGCAGAATTGCGACCTTTTGGCAGGACCATCGCGCTATTCTTCCTACCCTCCCAATGCATACGTCGCATTCGTAGTAGTGCACGCCTCGCCTGCTATGACCGGAATGCAATAGTGCGTTCGTGAGTGCATCACAAAGCTAATTCCGCAACTGCTCCCAGCGCATCAACGGTTCCGATGACAAACGTTCGTCCGAAAATGAATTTTTCTTTCGCGCTTTGCGAAACGAGAACGCTCGTGAGTTCGATTGGCATTGATCCGGAGTCCTTCTCGCGATGTGTAATAAAATTACATTTGTCCCTCTGCTTGTTTTGGAGAAACGTAGGCGTAATCGGCTATCAAAAATGACGAAATTTTTCTATTGTAATTTCGTTTCCAAACTCTTAATCTTTTTCTATTGTAATTTGGCTGAAGAAGACTTATTAGTATAATCGAAACGTTCGTTACATTGTACATTAATGAAATGAATAACTTTTGAATGAATCTTTGACCTAATTAATTGCTTGTTTGTTTGACCTTTCTACAAATTTTATTATATTTACATTGCAATTTTTAGTTAGAAAATTGATATTATTGTTTTTCTATCATCCTAATTATCTTAAAAATAAAACATGCGCGCGGTCTCGGGGGCGTTATTCAGAAAATTACCATATATAAACTGTAACTAGTTTGAATTCTCTGGATCTCAGATCTATGTATAAATTATAGATTAGGGAATTACCATAACAAGGAATTCTCCGAGCTAATGACTTATCTACTGAATTCTTAATGATGAAAAGGTAAAACTTTTCGATCTGTATTTTTCTGTATTATTATATCTGTATTATTATAGATAGCGCATTAAAAGAAAGAGAAAAAAAAATGCAATTTTATTAATCCTACTGTATTTCGTTCTATAAATGTCTCAAAAGTCTCCTATACAATTTTCTATTTATACTTACTAATTATTTCGCACATTGTAATAAAAAATGCAATAAAGATTATTTTTCTCACACTCACAATTTTTTTTTAAATGCAAATAATATTATATAGCATATTTTTATAGCATTATTTGATCGATATTATACAGTAATAATTTTGATAAAAATAATATTATATAGGACTCTTTAATAAGTGCTAATAATATTATATATTATTTCTAATTATTATTTCTGTCGAAATAATTATTATTACTATTATTAACGATGTGCTATGTAATATTAATATATGTGTAATATAATAGTAATAATTATTTATACTAAAATAATAATAATTGTTATTATTATTATTAGCGACTAATATCAATCAAGCAACGCTATAAAAAAATTGAAAATTTTACGTGACAATCTACATAGAATATCATTTTTATACGAGTTCACGTGTAAGAAACGAGCAGCGTTAAAATGATATTAGCCTTGATGTGTAAATTCTTCTCATGGTAGATAAGTCTAGTTTTACACCTGCGCCGCGCGCGCGGGCTTTTAATAAAACGGCCATCGTGGGCACGGGCATATTACTAAGTCGTCATATCCGTCAAATCAATCTTCCTCGTTGCACACGTCCACGTTCATTACGCTCGTATATACCGGTGACGGTGAAAATACGTGGCAGAGACACCGTCGACGATAATCCACGCCGCGGGTCAAATGGATCATCGGTGAAAATCGCGCGTACAAATCTCGAGCGATCGTTAACGAGCGACATCAAGCCGGTAAATTCTCACGCCCGGATGCGCCTATTTTGTAAACGCACATGCATGTGTGTTTTTCATGGAGATGGTTGTGTGTTTCTCCCGCATATTCGCAAAAGCGCGTATAAACGCAGAATCAATCTGCGTCGTTAATTACGCGCGTAACGGTATTTTCCCGATCCCATACCGGTAAACGGACATAATTGTATTTCGCTTTACTCTATCGATATCCATGTCGTCGTTATATTTCCTCTACCTTAATAATTCAAATCGATTTCTCGTTTGTTTCCCGGTCGGCCGCTATTATCACCAAATAGCGAAGTTATCCTGTCATGGACAGACTTACGGGCATCGAGCGTAACAGGTTCGTGAAAATAATTGTCAGAGAAAAGGTCTTTAACCTTCCATCGTTTGTACAGAGAGAATGAAATGCATTTATCGGATAAAATTAGAGTCGACAGCGCGTCGATATCATGGCAGATATGTCTGATCGATTTTCAACGCTTGCAGAAATTCGAATGAATTCCGTCAATTAACGAAGTCGAGAGAAAAATAAGATATTTTGAATGTTAAGGAAATTAATTAAAATGTATGATTGGCTTGGTATCATAGATTATTCACCAGGAAAAAAAATAATAAACAATATAATGATGATCGAATATTTTCTTGATTAAAGTATTCAATATATATAGTCCTAAGAACTTTTAACTCAAGGATATAAAATAAGATAAAACGGAAAATTATTTTTTTATTTTTTAATATAATCGTTATTTCAATACATTTTTGTATAATGATAAATAAATTTTTCTTTACACCTAAAAAATATTCTGAATTTTTATCATAGTTTAACGCTATGGAAATCATTTCTTTATTACTAGTAAATTGTTTTCACGCAAATCGGATTTCAATTTTGAAAATAAAAAATAATCGCTAGAAGAACAAATCGGAGATGTAGAGCGAGTGATGAAGAAGTGAAGATTAAAACATTTTAAGAACAAAAATTAAAAATATTTTTTAGTGAATTTTTATAGAAAACTTAATTTATTGTTCTAAAAAAATATACAGAAATATAAAGAAGATATATTATATTGAAAGACAAAATTGTTTCATTTTGTTACTTAAAATTTTTTATCTTGCTAGATATGCAAACATGCTGAAAAGATATGTGAAAGAGAAAATTAAGCTCAAGCATTTGCGATATTCAGGTTTAGCTCATTCAAGATGATATTATCAATCCGATGTTACGTTTTATTAATCGTTGCAAAATGCTGTGACATGTTTTTCTACTTTGAAATAACAATATGCAAACGACTGGAAAATAAATGCTGTTCGCATGCATACGATAACCATTTGAAACTCGTCCTCAACTATGCACGTGGAAGTGTTTCCGTGTACATGATTATTTCACGAAAGAGACTATTGGGATACGCGTAATGCAACCGTTGGTATTGCATCTGTTTTTAAATAAAACGAACACTAAAAACACGTCCGCATGTCTTCTTAAGGTGGACACGAATTCTTTGTTTACATTTTAATAATATAGCTGGTGACTCTCTCTCCTATGATAATGATATTTCTCAGTATCTGTAAATATTCAAGGATGCCATTTGCAATAATAAAAACAACAAATTTTGCAAAAACAA